TTAGAAAAAAAAAAAAATTCGCATTTTAATAGAACACTCGATGGATTAGAAAAATATTTGAATGGGACAATACTCTCCATTGACGTTACAAATTTTTCTTAATTTCTAATTTATAGTCAAATTTGATTAATTACGATAATGCAAAACACTCAAGTAAAGAAAATCTCTGTATGATCAAGGACAATCTACTTAGACTCATCTAATTTAATTACTATTCTTACTTTTCTATAATTCAAGTACATAAGTAAGTACATATATTTGTACATATATATACATATATTAATTAAAATATAATATATATTAGGGGTAAATAGTATTAGCCATATATAATATATATATTAATACTATTTATATATATATATATATATATATATATATATATATATTAATTTTTAAACATTTCAGAGATCGCAGACAGGAACATATCGAAGTAGGCTATCGATTTTGGAAATTTCTGAAGCATTTAAAACACATTCAAGTTTGTTTTTCGTCGAATGAGCAGATGTCCCTTCGGGGTGATCGGTTAGAGGATATTTGATATTTGCTGCATCACTATCCTCGAGGGAACTATATGATACTCGCTCCGTCAGCCAACAGCGAGTTTTATTAGCAATATATATAGTTATACATACATACGTACATATATATATATATATATATATATATATATATATATGTACATACATATATTTATATATGTATATATAGTTAGGTAGGAAGTTTTATTCGTAAAGGGCGAAAAGTACGTCAAATAGATCGTTCTCCGGGGAGATATTTATTTTGGAAAAATCAAAAAATAAATCGAATTGCCATTGAAAATTTCGAGGATTAACTGGTAAACGTAAACTTTCTATGACGCAATCAAATATTATCAAACTGAATGTCAATTATATTTATTTTATAACGCATAATTATTGTTTCTTTTAATTATTGAAAAATTTCAAGATAATTATCGATTGTCTATCCGTTAAAGTAATTATCTATTATCTTTGTTTTTGTAATCTGTAATTATTATTTTTATAATTACGACATACCATTTAGACATATATAAGATACTTATATATTATTTATCTAAGTATATCGAATTTATCATACGTATAATAATAAATTATAAAACATTATTAACGAATAATTAATAATAGATATGATTATTAATTATTATTTTCATTCGTAATTCGTAATTATTATTTTCTCATTTATCGGATAACATCGATAATAGTTATCAATTGTCTCCATATTTGTAATTTTATAGAATTATTATATTCTTAATTATCTGATAATATTGTCAATGACAATTGTCATAATTATTTGTCTCTTTAATCGTAATTTGAAAAAATTTTACACGGGTAAACCCGAAGAAATATTCGAAATCATTATAAAGGTGTTAGTTTTTAATACGTAATGATGACTAAAGAAAAGTCTATTTTCTTTCTCATGAATCGAAGTTTGCACAAAGGATTATCGGGGTTAAAGAAAATCGTAAAGTTTTCATATACGTACATATATATATATATATAAAATAAGAAAGAGAAAAATAAAGAGAAATAGAGAGAGAGAGAGAGAGAGAGAGAGAGAGAGAGAGAGAGAAAGTAAATGAACTAGACGAGGTATCCTAAAAGTTTCATCTTCTTTCCATGACGTAAAAGATGAGCGAATAACCGAGACTATGCTTTTAAGAAGACTGAATAATATTGGCGGAACGTTGGTAATACGATAATGAGACGGTCCCTTTATCTAAGTACCTCTACCTTTAGAATCTTACTTTGGTCCATGGATTTCATTTCGTGCAAAGTCTTGCGCACTTTTGCCTTCGAGAAACTTCCTCCATTTATGGTTCTTCTTTTTGTATCCGGTTTTTCTCTATCGATCTTTCTCCAATTTACTTTTTCACCCTCGATAAGATTTCTATCAATATTCGTTTTCATCTTACAAAATATTCAAAGTATTCGTAAAAGGACACATTCAAGCTGGAGACAATTTTTATTTTTTTCTTTTTCTTTTCTTTTAATCATACTTCTTCTCCCTTCGTTTAATTTTCCTGTCTTTTCTTTGTTTTTTCTTTTTTTGTTCTTTTTTTTTTTGGTACGAAAAATCAAAAAAAAATAATCGAAAAAATCTTGCATTTTCTTTTAAATCCAATCATATAATATATACTTTTATATATATATATATAAATCGTTCATATTTCGTTTTCAAATGTAACTCATATATTTTTATTTAATATACATTTATATTTGTTATAGACACACACACACACACACACATACACACACAGATACAAAAAGACACAGACACGTTTATATATAGATAATCGTTCTTCTTTGTTCATTCCTTTTTTTTCCCTTGTAAATATATACCCTCATAAATGACGGAAAATGATCGTATAATGGGCATTCGATATTCTTATGAAAAGAATAGTAATATAATTCTTGCGTTGTTGTTTGGTGTCGTTTAATTGCAAGGGAAAAACAAAAATTACGAGGATTTCGAAATCGCAGAAAAGATAAAGAGAGAGAGAGAGAGAGAGAGAGAGAGAGACAGAAAAAAAGAGAAAAAGAAAGAGAGAGAGAGAGAGAGAGAGAAAGAAAGAGAGAAAAAGAAAGAGAAAAAGAAAGAAAGAGAGAGAGAGAGGGAGAGAGAGAGAGGGAGAGAGAGAGAGGGAGAGAGAGAGAGATAGTATCGTGCGTTCGACACTCTACAGGAGATATTAAATGGGAGAAAAATGTTGACGCGAGCCGTTACTAGGGCAGTAGTCAATATATCGCATAAATATACAGAGATATTCGCACGAGTAACTCCCTTTTAACGATGCTTTCAATCCTCTCGGCATGCCTTCCGAACGATTCTCGCAACACCATTAGTGTTGAAAGCCGAGAGCTCAACGTTCCTACTATAACTTCTACCATATTTATCTTTCATAAATATATAAAAATATCTAATCATGAAATGTGTTTGTATGTGTGTATATATATATATATATCAAACGTATATATGTATGTGTACATGTACAATATATATAATATTATATATGTGCAATATATATATATATATCAAACTTGCCTACGTTTGTATTTGTATGTACATGTGCCTGTTAGATATCAAACGTTTTGATATCTGACAATTATTGATAACATGATAATGATAATGATTTGTTAAAAAAAAAAAAAAAAAAAAAAAAAAAAGATTTGAATTTTACACGTAATGTAATTAAATTTAGACATTAATTTCGTTCATTGATTATACGAACGTTCGTCATACTATTCGATAATCCGAAATCGAAAGAATTCAATGAAATTATTAAATTATGATAAATCCATGATATTTATTATCTAACGATAATAATCGATAATAATTTGTCGTCGAACAGAAAATATTTCGATAAAATTAAATATACAAATACAAAATAATATTTATTCATAAAATTTTGTTTATTAATCGTAATATGATTCGATAAGTGCGAAATTGAAAGAACTTAATTTAAAATATTTCATTCGTTCAGATAGTCCATAATTTTAATATCTAATGATAATGATCGATAATAATTATTCGTAACGTATGGAAATATACTACGATAAAATTAAATTTATTCATTAATTTTGTTCATTAACTGATAATATAATTCGATAGAATTGAATTTATTCATTAATTATGTTCATTAACTGGTAATATAATTCGATAATATAAAATAGTAAATAATTAATACAAATTATATATTACATTGTAATTGTGGTAATCCACGATTTTATTTAAACTTATGATAATAATCGATAACAATTATTCGTTTAATATAAAAACGTTAGAATAATATGTAAATATTACTTAACTTTGTTAATTAATTTTATTAAATAATTACTTACATTTTTATTACAAAAAGAAAAAAAGAACATAAATGTTTATAGATTAATTAAAAAAGTAAAAATTAATTCAATTGATTAATCACGCGTATGTTTATTATATTACCATTATAAAATCTGGCTATTGTAGATGATCCCGAATAACAATGTAAAACTTTTAAACGATAAAATACGAATAAAAAAAACGTGATAAAAAATAAAGAAAGAAGATCGAAAAAAGAAGAAAAAAAAAAAACTCTATGCACTGAGCTACCTCAAATATTTATTTTGTTTGATAAAAAAAAAAAAAAAAAAAAAAAAAGGAAAAGAGACCGTTTGATCGTTTCGCTTATTACTAATCAATATAGATGGACGAATTCGTATCGACCTTTCGGAATCGAGTGAATGAATGAATGAACAAACGAACAAACGAACGAACGAACAAACAAACAACCGAACAAACGATCGATAGACGACAAGTACCTAAGGCTATCATCAACCTAAGGTTGATCAATACTTTTTAACAAATTCTATTTGTCTACTTTCGTTTTCCATTGATAATAATATATATTAATTATAAATATATTATAATATATATATATAAAATAGTTATACAAAATATAGAATGTGTATGTATATATATATATATATATATATATATATATATATATATATTATTTTTAATGTAGAAGAGTACATATATATATATATATTTAATTATAAATTAATATAATTTATTTCTATATATGTAGATAAATTAAGTGTATTTAAATATATAAATACTATATATATATATATATATATATATATATATATATACGCAATTTTTTCCTTTTTTTCCCTTTTTTTTTCCTATAATTTACTACTACATAAAATGAAAATAAATTAGAGATGTACTTATTTGTATACTTTTGTGTGTGGCATATATGGTAATTAGATATATTCATATATCATATTATATACGATGTTATATAAATATATAAATAAATGAAGAATATTTAGATATATGCAAAGGTAGGAAAATGAATCTTATTCAACGTGGAATATTCTACATATTCTTTTTTTATAGTAATATCGAGAAATTTTATTTGAAAAAGTCGTAGAATACCGAGAGGGGTTCCATAATATGACGGTAATAATTTTTTTTTCTTTTTTTTTTTTTTGCAGGTGGACGCCTGGGGAACATATGAAGGTCAACTGTGTTTTATTAAATGGAATCATATGTTTTTGATTGCATCGGGTAGACACCAGCTCGATATTCTCTATAAAAAAAGTATTAACCCATGTACGTTGAGAAATTATTAGTTTATGGAGACATTTATAGTCGCTTACTCCGCGCTTGCTTTTGCATATTTGTGTTTCATGTCCCTATGATCTTTAAATTCCGAAGATATTTACCCCACCACTACCAACACCATTCCCACTCCCATCCCGCTCCCCATGCAAATGAAAAACGTGTTCATAAATAATATAGAAAAAAATTTGTTTCTTGGAAAAAAAAAGGAGAGAAAAAAAAAAAGAAATTCGTTTATCAATTATTCATTAATTTTTATAACTTAATATATCAGTGACACAATTCGAATCATTCTTTCGTTGTAAAATAATGTGAATTTAGAGTTTATAAGAATTCATTTATAAAACTTATTTACAAAATGAATTGTTAATTAATTATTAACAATATGCAGAAAAAAAATATGCAAGAAAAAAAAAAATATATATATATATAATAATTGGAGAAAATTTTCCCATGTTTAAAATGATATTCGATTCGAGTCACCGAGAACTTCAGTTCCGGAGATATTACCATGCAAATGAAAAACGTGGCTATTAATAATGTAGGAAAAAGATTGTTCCTTTAATAAAAAAAAAAAAGAAAAAAGAAAAAGAAAAAAGAGATAATTCATTTATTAATTATTTATTAATTTATGTACAATTTTTTTTTTTTTTTTTATTTTTTTTATAAATCAATCGCAATTTGAATTCTTTCTTTTGCAAAGTAATACGAATTTAATATTTGTTTGTTAAAAAAATTAATAAATAATACTTAATTGTTAATTAATTATTAACATAGCACGAAAATAAAAACAAATGTTAGAGAAAATTCTGCTCTTTAAATATCAATATTTCATTTGAGTTTCGACATATTTTTGTTTTCGATAATATTCACATTTAAATTGAAAATGTTTATGATTACCCATTGTGACCTATAAATTTCATTCAAATTGGCTCAATGACATATTGACCTTTATAAATTCCAAAAATTTACACTAGCCTATTTACTATTATTATTACGAACAATTATACTATATAAATTATAAATATATATCTTTCGAATTATCTTCGAAATGAAAAATCGTAAAGATTTGAAAGAAAAATCATTTTCAATCGTAATTTATTCTTTATTAATTAAAGGATTAAAATAATATCGATATAATAAAATCGATTTTATGTATAATAATTTTTTAATAAATGCAACTTTTCCATTTTTCTCCCGTTTAACAATGACAACGATTTTAATGAAATCGTTAAAAATTTTTGTTACAATTATGTTTTTTTTTCTTTTTTTTTTTAATTGTATTTTATTTCATTTATTTAAAAAGCAACAAATAGATCTATTAATAATCATTAAAATATAAAATAAAATGATTAATACATCGGAAAACTTTCACTTTCGTAATTTACTTATTATTATCACTTTGTTAATTAATATTCTAATATTCTTACTATATTTTAATTGTATCTTTCTCTCTCTCTCTCTCTCTCTCTCTCTCTCTCTCTCTCTCTCTCTCTCTGTCTCTCCTTCTCTCTCACTTTCTCTACATAGTTCTTTAGGAATATTTAAATAAAAATAATTTAAATTAACTTCTTGAGTTAATATTTTTTTTTTTTTTTTTTTTTTTTATAAAAAAAAATTGATCAATGCTATCGAAATAGTATGAATCTATCAGAAAAAAAGCATAGTTGACCTTTATAAAAATCCTTTGTACGTTTAACTACAAAATAAAAGATAATTATTACCTTATTATAATCCTCAACGTATCGAGTTTTGTAAATAAATTGATCAACGTTATTGCACAACATTGTGTGTGTGTGTGTATATATATAAATTATATATCCATACTCACGTACACACATGTACATACATATGATATATACTTATATACACACATATATATATACAGTTTTGAATAATACGTGACACAACCACTAAAATAATGACTCTAAATAAATCTAATGAAAAAGGATAAAAGAATGAGCCCGACTCGAAATATCAGCTCGTAACTGAATAGAATTCAATCATTGTATTTGATTTTCAATCATTCTATTCGAACAAATCTCGTGGTCGGTTGTTCAAATAATCGATAAATTAGTTAACAACGAACCGTTGACGTTGAAGCAAGCAATAACAACATCCTGTCTATCCGAAATAGCGTGCCCATCAAAACTACGTAGTTTTAATAGATTTGCTTCGACTAGTTCGACAATATACTCGCATCGCCGGTGTTACGTAATTTGCTAACAAACACTATCGTAACGCGTGCTCCTAAATACAATAAAATAAACAATTGTGTCGGCTTAATTGCCATCAACGTTCACCTATTCCGATTACCGTTACATCGACGAATTCCAATGGATTTAACGATTTTTATTTATTTTTATAATTCTTAACAGGTTCCGTGCCATGTGTACCACCGGTGGTACACGTTAAAATGATCTTCAGGCCACGTGTACCGCCGGTGGTACACGCAGTCATATTTATTTAATGCACTGAAAAAATATATGGCCTGAACGACAAGTCAAACAAAAATGGTTTGACGCGGAACGTGTTAAAAGTAATCGAAAATGTTTCATCGCAGTTAAAAATTTCAACAAAATTTTCTTCAAAATTTTTCCTTTATTATTATCAAAAAGAGATCAAATACAAAAGAATTATAATAGAATAAGAAATATAGAAGGAAAAATGAATGGATAAGATAACAAACGCGTTTAATTTGTCGACTTTTTAAAAAAATTATTTTTACAAAATCGAAAATATTTTTTCATATGCTATAGCGAAATAATTTGTTCTAACATTTTTTTCATCGATTAAACATTTTTTTCTCTTTTATTTATTTATTTTTTTTTTTCATTTCTTTTTTTTTTTTTTTTTTTTTTGTAAAAAGAACCAACCAGAGAAGTATCAAAAGAAAGCAGGCAACGGCGATGGCGGGGGAGCGGTGGGGAGGGAGTGTGGTGGATGTCGAGGAGGGGAAAAAAAAAAGACAAAAACAAAAGACGTAAAGAAAGTAAATCGAGCGCGAAACATGGACGTACTTGAAGATTTGCCTGTATTTTTTTTTTTCTTTTCTTTTCTTTTCTTTTCTTTTCTTTTCTTTTCTTCCTCCAGGTAGAATTTAATAAAGGAAACGCGACTCGTCGAATTAAAAATACGGAACTAACACGATGGTGTGGTGGCTGCTTGGTAGACAGAAAAAAATTCGTCGTGTTAGGAAAAACAACAGTCGGTGGGAGTGTGCAATAAAGAGCTCGAAACGGCGAGAATCGTTGGCAAAGACCGTGTGCAAAGCTTTCAACACTAAGAGTAAAAAAAAAAAAGGAAAAAAAGAAAAAAAAAAAAGAAAAAAAAAAGAATGAAAAAGAAAAAAAAAAGAAAAAGGAAAAGAAAAGAAAGACAAAGAAAGAAAGAAAGAAAGAAAGAAAGAAAGGAAAAAGAAGGGAGAAAAAAAAAACATTAGAAACGAAGAAAAAATTGAATGAAAAATAGAGATGTGTGTGTGTGTGTGTGTGTATACGTGTGTACGTGTGTTTTTGTATTTGTTTGATTGTGTGCCTGTGAATGAGAGAGAGAGAGAGAGAGAGAGAGAGAGAGAGAGAGAGAGAGAGAGAGAGGAAAGGAAGAATGAGAGAAAAAGAAAAAGAAAAAGAAAAAGAAAAACTAGGTGAAGAGAAATCGAACGACGAGCACTTGTCGTTCGCTCTTTCGACACGTTCTCTCCACACGCTAATTAACTTCCAATTGTGATGCTATTCCTTTCTGTCGAAAATTTCAATGAATTCATTGATTTTCACTACCGTTTGTAATTACGTTTGAATTATGCACATATCGATCATTAATAATGGTCATTAAAATAGAGAGAGAGAGAGAGAGAGAGAGAGAGGGAAAGAGAGTTTTAATAACTAAAAAATTTTTTTAATTCTATAATTATATTAATTTTGATATTGTAATCTTTGTAACGCGTGTAAACATGTTTTTTTTTTTTTAATATTTGCAACAAAATGCGAAGAAATTCTATTTACATTTATTTGAAATACAAGTTAATATGTCATTTTATAATATTTTTTAATTATATCATAATTATAGGAATAGTTTTCTATTTATAAAAATATAAACTCGTTCCTTAAATGTTTCACAAAGTACGTAATATTTATTACAATTTATTTCTCGATATTTATTACAATTTATATTTCGATTCTATTGAGAAAATTTTGGACGAATTTGTCGACTTTTTTTTTCTAACATTTGTAATCACGATCGAATTATTAGCGTATCGATAATTAATTATGAATAATCTATTACATATCGCGCTATAATGGAAGAAAATTAATAATTTTTAATTTTCAAAATTGTGTATTAATATTTTTAATTTAAAAAAAAAAAAAATGTATATTTATGTTATATAAAATGAGAAATATTTCATCGTATTATTCTAAACATATTTCTAAAAAAAAATCATACGTAACATGTACTAAAGATTTTGCATAAAAATTATTTATCATGTTTCTTCTCAATTTAATTCTGATTTAATTCGTTTTTTCTTTTTCCCCGTTTTCTTTTTTTGTATTGTTTTAATGCTCTTCTACTGGAAAAAAATAATTCCTATGCAGTTGTTTAAAAAGGATCTTTTTTATATGCATGTATATATATATATATTTTTTTTTTTGATCTATAATAAACTTCGAAAATAATTTCTGCAAAAATATTTTCCCATTGTATGTCCCACGGAAAGACTTGTTTTTATTTTTCAACATACTTTTCGACTATAACGGACCCGGGTACAATAATTATATTTGTCAGATGAATCGATAATATTTAAAAAATCAAGAATAATATTGTAAATAAAAAATAATAAAAAAAAAAAAAAGAAAAAAAACAAAAAATAATACAAACACAGAACGAGAATAACTGTTTGTGGTTTCTAAAGATAAACAAAAAAGAAAAAAAAAAAGGGGGAAAAGAAAATATCAAAATTTTCTCTAACTCTTTCTTTTCTAATGCATTTGATTAGGAAGGAACGCGTTTCAAATCTCGTATATAATTGTTTTTCAATAAAATGATAATTTCAATGTTCTCCATTTTATTAACTACCGTCAATTAAACTTGTATTAAGTATAA